GGGAAAATGGGCGGGGTTTGGGGGGGCCACTGAAGAGGCTGCAGCTCAGCCTAGGTTTACCAGCCTAGGAAGAGAAGGGCGGGTGAAGCCTCCCTCTGGGTCGCTCTGGGTCGCTCTGGGTCAACGGAGAGGGAGATCCAGTCGAGAATGGGGGCTTCGGAGCCGGGCACGGTGGTGGACGCCTGTAATCCTAGAACCCAGGAGGCTGAGGCAGGAGGATCTCTGTGAAGTTGAGGCCAGCCTGGACAATGTAGTGAGACCTTGTTTTGCGGAGGAAAAAAAAAAAAAAAAAAGAGAGAGGAATCTGGTACAACCAATATGCACTAATAAAAATGGAAAGAAAAAGGAAAAAAAAGGCTGAGTGTGGTTGTGCACGAGAGGGAGAGAGAGATAGAGAGAGAGAGAGAGAGAGAGAAGAAAAATGGCCCAGTGTGGTTGCCCATGCCTGTAATCCCAGCATTTGGAAGGCTGAGCCAGTTGGATTGCCACAAGTTTGAGGCCAGCCTGGGCTGTGTAGTGGGGCTCTGTCTCAAACAAAGGGGGGTCCTCCAGGCCCACACCCAGCTTCCACATGGCTTGCCTCAGTTTCCTATAGAATGGGGCCAAAAACAGGGGCTCCAGGCAGCCCGCATCAGGCAGCACGGACTCCTCACAACTTGGGACAGGGCCCAACCCGATCCCCACAGCCCGAGCCCTCCTCCCCTAACCCGTGGAGTCGCGGGACTCTGTGGCTGCCCTAATTTTAAGATGACCTTTGACCTCATCCAAGCCCTGCAGAGGAGGTTGGTATGCAGAGGCCCTGAGCTGGGGACTAGCCAGGTAGGTTAGACCTCAGCTGACCCCTGACCGTGGGCTCACAGGACCCTGCCTGGCTGTGGCCTGCCCAGTCCTGGCCCAGATGCCCACACACTTCCTGCCTGGACACTTGGTTGTGGGTGCTGGGGTGGGGATGGCAGCCTAGCCAAGCCCTGTTGTGGCCCTGGCTCTCTGGATGTGCCACATCCACATGGTCCTGGGCAGCTGACAGCTGCATGGATGCCCGGGGCAGTGTGGAGGGTGGCTCCCTCCCACAGGTGCCCAGGCTTTCCGGCCCAGCCTCCTGAGGTATGAGGTGTCCCAGCGGGGCACAGGTGGGTGGAGCTGGCTGAGAAAGGAAAACAATACTCAAGATGGGGCTAGGATCAATCCAAGAAAGACCTCTTGGACACTTTTATGTCATCCAGGGCTTGGACTCTGTCTCTTCTGCGTGTGAGGGGCTCTGCCCTGTACCCTGGGGACCTGGAGTAAACCATGAGGTGCCTGCGTCAGTGAGGCTCTGATGGTTAAGAACCTTCCAGTGGGTCCTGAGTGCTCTCTGACCCTCTACCGAGGTGTTCCTACTAGTAGTAAGTAGTGATTAGAATCAGTCAGGGTTCCTCCAAGCCTGCTGAGGAAGATCTTCCTCCCTACAGGAAGCTCTGGGGTGAGTGGAAGGTTTTCGGTTTACAGCCTGACTCCCCTGCTTCCGGTTCATGGAACATCTTCGAGTGGTGGGTGGTGGACATTGGAGGTTTTGCCCACTGGCTTTCTGGCCAGGGCACTAAGTTGTCCTTTGGGGCGAGTTGGACAGACCTCAAGCCCCAGCTGCAGGGATGGATCGTCCAAGCCGAGCCCTGTAGCCCCCAAGGCTTCGGGGATGGTTTAGTAGTCAGCATATGACTCTGGGCAGCCCTGGGACATTTTCAGACACACAGTGCTGAGGCAGCTGAGCAGGACCTGGGCTAGGGTTGCAGACGTTCTTGTGTTGACAAAGCTTGTGAATGATATGGACACTCAGGACAGCTGAGCCCATGGATGAGAGAACCCTATTTGTGCTCCTGGATCCAGCCGTACCAGACTTCTCCTGTGAAACTGGCCCATACATTTCTTTATTTTGGGACAGGGTCTCACTATGTAGTTGAGACTGACCTGGAACTCACTATGTAGCCCAGGCTGGTCTCAAACTCACAGCGATCCTCCTGCCTCAGCCTCCCGAGTGCTGGGATTACAGGTGTGTGCTACCACACCTAGCATTTATGTATTTATTTATTTATTTATTTTTGAGACAGGGTCTCACTAAATTGCTGAACTGCCCAGACTGGACTCAAACTTGCAATCCTCCTGCCTCAGTCTCCCAGAGTGCTGGGATCACAGGTCTGTGAGAAGTTTTTTGCTGATTTGTTAGACTAGGAGGGGCAGCGCGGGCACACACAGGCACACAAGTGGGGTGGCCTCGACACAGGTTTTATTTCTGCTGAGCAGGGCCCCGGGCAGGCAGGAGGCTGGCCAGGTGTGGGGAGGAGTGTAGTCCTGGCCGGCTGGCGTCTCAGCTCCTGGTTAGGGTTGGGGTCTGGGGTGCACAGAGTGGCTTCAGCCCACTGGCTTGACCTTGGCGATGAAGAGGGCGGCCGCCTTCTCCAGGAACTCCTCCCGGGCCATGGGGGAGCTGGGCCTCCTCCCTGCTGCTGCGCGGTCCATGGCCAGTGCCAGGCTGTCAGGCCC